ACCGAACATAGATTCTTTGCTGTGACTGGTATAAATTCAAGACGTGTATTTCCTTCGGGATAATACAGTGTTAACAGAAACGGTTCGACCAACATAGGGAGAGGTTGTCAGTTGGATATGGTCGAGATACATTTCGGTACTGGAGTAAAAAAAGAAAAAGTTCAGCGGGACAACTTTTTAGTCAATTTGACAATAATAATATATATATTGCTTCACGACGCATGAGCAATCTTACTGATATTCACATATCCTTCCCTACCGACATAGAAACAATAACAGTGATGTTAAAGATCACTATAATGTCAGTAAAAAATCACATTCAATGGTGAAACTCACACTTCAAATTAAGATCTGTCTTTTATCACAGCGAATAATTTCTTTCAAATATGCTCAATTCACGTTGTTAGAAACAGTTCTAAAATGTTCGGATATGTTTTGAGCATAGTCCGACATGTGCAAAGTCAACACAACCAAGAAAAAGTGATTGATAGGGATTGAAGAGATGCATTCAGGAGGATCCTCCCCTTTCAGTAAAGAGTATGTGTATAGTTACCATGTCCTAAACGGCATCGCTGCATGGCAATGTCATCATGACGAGTTAGTCCAGTAAATTAAAATGACATTAACACGCAATTCCAACAATAGACGGATGCAGTTTTAGCTCCAGAATCCGCTTTGGAGATATGTATACCGGTGAGGTTAAGAAGCCAACAGAACGCGATATTCCTACCAGCCACAGATAAGTCCAGATGATGACTTAAAAATGCATCTAAATAGTCTCGGTTTGTTAACGGTTCTGTGTTGCCTTTAGATCAGGCAAACTATCTGAAAAGTGTGTGCAATATATTTCAGGACCAATAAACCAGCCATAGTAAACATGGAACTTCCATCAGTTAATCTGATAGAAAATGTGCTATTTTCATAAAAAGCTGCTGCTAATACTTTATCGCTGTGTTCGATTAATTGGTAAACAGACCTTTGGTAGAGAGATATTTATGTTTTGTTTCCAAAAATGCTTATCTGTAAAATGATGTATTTGTAACAGCCTTCGTTGGTTTCGTCAATTGTAAAATAACGTCAGGCTGTATGAGATTGCGATGGTTGTATTTCTGACAAGTTAAATTGAGAAATATTGATATGATCCCATTGTATGTGTATACAGAGAGTTGGAGTTAATTTGTAAATCATATTAATTCTGATAATCTGGTTTAAGAATAAAGGGACAAGAAGAGCTAGATGGATTTGAGTGAAGATTGGAAATCTATTGGAGAGTACGACTTACTCTTCTTCACATTGAACACGGTGCATACACGTAACCATATAAGTTTTCAATGGGAGATATTTTTTTAAAAACCCAACTAATTCTAGATTTCTGATACCACAATTGTAAATTTTATCAAGCTCTGGGATATACGACTTGCGAGCTGACCATACAACAAGCCTCGATATGATCAATAATATATAGAGTAGAGGAAGGGGTGTTTCTTGATCTCCAACATATTTAGTATTTGACTTAAAAATAGAAAGTGTTTTTTAATGTGGAATAAAATATATTATTACTTGCCCGTGAAGAGATCACCCGTTTAATAAACATACAGCTTTATTACACATTGTGTAATACCAAAACGCGTGCTTATGTACTCTCGGAACACGTTTCACGAACAAATATTGAAAACTCTCAACATCCCTTGGCGTATTCAACGACATTGTGTGTGGAGATGATAGATCACTGGGAGGAGGCTATGCACACTCGATGACCCCAGCAACCTTGTTGCTAGGCTGACGTCACATTGCTTTGACTCGCCGATGGATCTTGCAACAAAATTCAACAAATTACGTCATCGGGTATTGTGACGTCATTGTAAACTTTGAGGTGCAAGGCCCCGTTCCACAAGGCGATCGTACTCTAGCGCAACGAGAGTCTTTAGTCTAAGTTAAATTATGTGAGTTGTGATAGCCTTAGCACTACGATAATTTTGTGGGACGAACGCCTGAATTCTAAAGGTGGCCCATTGTATGATATTAAATTCATACGTTTCAACTTTTGACGTGTTTGAAGTATTATTCTGTTAAACTCAATTGGATTATGCCATGGATCGTGTAGGTGTCAGCCTATTTACACTCAACAGTATAATTCTAAAAACATTATAAATGACAAGTAATAAATAAAATACTAAACTCGCTCTCGTGTAAAACCAATTTTATGAAACTCGTGAATAGTTGTGGTATCTGACTCGCTTTGGCTCGTCAGATACCAGAACTATTCACTCGTTTCATAAAATTGGTATTACACGGGAGCTCGTTTAGTATTCTATATTTTTGTCTTCAAATGTGATGCCTTAAAATGAGGTTTATTAGCAACTTATATTGGAGTCCTTATCCGTTTGCATTTGTTCCAAAATGCACACATCATGTTTCAGTTTTGTGGACTTAAAACTGTTTTTCACTGACCACCTGCATATCTTCCGGAGCTGTAATTTATTTCAATGCTATTCATGTTGGGACCACGCCATGGGATAAGAAGATCGTCGCCACAGACTATGTTGCAAAATATTTGTTCTTCATTTTTCACAGTGGACCTATTGCACTTTAATTATGTTCTAAAAGGATGTTGCAATGTTTTTATGTCTATGGTACCAATGTCGTCGAGCATTGAATTTTGGCACCATAATTAGTTTGAAGCGTCATTAAATCAACAAAATAACGAATGTAATTGTTTTTAAATATATAATAAAAATATTAAGAATTAAATATTATTCAACAACCTGTTTTCAGAAAGCAGATAGCCAAGAGTATGGAGACAATAAATTATACCATTAGTGTGGAGGTCAATGTCGCCAGATATTAAATGTTCACTAAAGTGTTTGGTTAGAATTTCACATTTTTCGTCACTAAACTTTGTATATAACTTCGTCTTTGAATAGGATAACTTCACATGGGTAATTATGTCTGTCAAGATAAGTGGTAAAGAAGTCCTAAACATGCAAATTTTGAAATTAAGAGAGTTCAATTTTCATTCATATGAACACATCTGATAACTTGATTGATAAAGGTTTTCCTCATTTCTTTAATTCTACAAATCCCGTAGGTCAAAAAGGGCCCTTACCATACCTTGTATAACAACAATGGTATAGGTACGCTTGCACTGTTGCATATTAAAAAATTGTTGAAATTTGATGCATATTTGTCAATACGCAATTCCCAATAATAGTCGAAAAATATAAACATTTCAGTTAGCTGACTGTTTATCTAGGTGAGCTACAGAACTAATTGAATGTCACGCACATAACAACATTGACAAGGACAGTGTTTTGGGGCAAAAGATGTCAAATCCTGCAGTAGATCAAAATACGAATCAAGTTAAGTATTCAAATAAACGTTCTAAGGTGCATGGATATTGTGTTGATGCATCTCTGGTGTTTCGTGAAACTTACATGGCCTATTGCGAGACGATAATCTGCCTGGGAGCAAAGTGGGTAGCTGCAAGCGCCATCTGTCTCTCCTGAGAAGTCTCGTGTCGTTGACCATGAACAGCAGACAGCCAGTAGGCCGGTAGAATTCGACGATGACAACCTTGTCTACCCACCTCCTCTTATTCGAATGACCAGTTGATCGTGTTAATACACAATGTGTAATGTTTATAAAACATTCTACCGTGACTTTGAAGAATGCCTGATTCTGACTGGTAACTTTATAAGAAGTAACTTTATACATGACAACATTTTGTTTGCAAACCCTTTTGTGATCGATAGTCATTGCCGTCTCCGTCAAACACCACCGTCAGGATTTGGCATAAGTTGATTTGAAAGTCAGAAAACACTCCTACCTTCGAAAGGCCACGAAAACAAAATTGATGAAATTCATTTCAAAACACGCACAATTAAAAAAACACTGTTTCTGGGCCACAACTGTCTCTCTGATTTCACACGCTGGTTTTGAATCCGTCAAATTTTAAAATTGACAGGTCAATTCAGATTCCGCGTGTGAAAAAAGGGGACTCGTCTGCAGCCTAACAAGCGGCTGTTTAGTCATACTCAGTTCCATTGGCAATCACGTGTACCATCAGGCTCATTCCCAGTAAATCTACAGGTTAATGTTGAACCACATCATAGATCGGGGTTGTCATCTTGCTTCGAGAATGTAAACGACAACAATGGCAGCCGTTTTGAGGGATGAGTAACCGTGATGTAGGTCAAGTTCTGCTACATCCAAGTTCGGGGTGGAGAGGCATTTATTTTGATTTTTTAAAAATTATTTACTGGGGTCAACAATTATTGCTGGTTTACTAATAAGACGTACACATGTAAAATAAATAGTAAAATGTAAATTCAAAAAGTTTGTTGGAAAAATATATTCGTTTAGTATTCTTAAACAATTTTTACAACCTGTCACCCCTACAATGGGAAATGGCACATTCGATTTTTAAGAAATGACTTGTCTCGCTGATTTCCAAGAAACGCAGGTTGCGATGAAATTAAAACATGTATCTCTGGACTAAGTTTGGAGGGTTATTTGTCAACTTCTTTTTGAACACTTATTATGAATTAGCCAAGACTATGGGTATTTTAATGTTGAACTTTATATTTGTTACAAATGAAAGAACTTGTGACCCCTTTTAGGAATGCTCTAAGATGGCGAACCTATGTACCCTGTGTAGTTACGGGTTGCAAGAGAGCACCGTTTTCAAAGCGCTGTTGCCGTCATGGTAGATTGGCGATAAACCTACTCTGTTTTGATGTAGTCCCATTGTAGAGTGGATACCTCTTATTTATCTAAAGCGCTCGGTACCAAATTAAAATAAGAGGTAACTACTCCACAGTGGGACTACATCAAATTTCCAAACACAGTAGGTCTATCTCCTAAATGGCATCTTCAACAGGTGAGTTACAAAACGAAATTCTTGAGCATTTTTACACCACGACCGCAAGTTGTAAGAGGTATGTAAGATAGCCAAGACACGAGGAAAGATGGATGCATAAAGTAATACGTACCACGTGAGAAGTAGATTATATAGCTATTTATTATTTATTTACATTTAATAAACCAGAAAACAAATTCAACAAGTTACAAAAGGCAGGAATAGGTTATAAGCTTTATTGTTACCAAAGGTATTTAAAGAAGGGAGAGTAAAGGGAATGCACAGCGTGTTTTAATACGCCCAGCATATAAAACCGTGACCATTCGCTTTTATGTGATACACGAAAGTCGTAGTAATTGTCTGTGTGGTAGTAGAGACTGTGAGACTGCCGTCTCACGGTGGGCAGAGCACTTTGGTATTCATAGCAGCCTTGGGTGGATAAAAAGGATAACCTTTCCCTTTGTAATGTGAGAATCCTTTTTACGACAAGGCAACGCCACAAAAAAACCACAGTATTACTTTGGGTTGGTCTGCAGTTACCTGACATGCACCAGGGACTGTGATGGTCAACAAGGTTGTCAACAGTATTCAACCAAGACCATCATGTATTTCACACAAAAGTCTCCTAGCTATTCCTATCAGGTGTATTGAGATATGCTTAAGATATGTAAGATATTCTCTTTGACATATTAGCCATGTAAAACTACGAACTTGGCGTATCGCCTAGATGTATCACTCCTGCCTTGTATGTTGAAGTTTTGTATGTTTTATGGCATACAAAAAGAACCAGTTTAATTACACATGACACATACATATAGATATGTAAACACAGATAATATACATACAGTATAATAGTATCAGCGGTAACAATGATATATAATATTGAGCAACAGCTTAGATACAATATTGATGAAAACAATGCCCCAGCCAATAATATGCTACACATATACTATTTCCAGAGTATGACCTTGGGCACACCTGCATATTACGTTGCATACATATTACACACTACTGTTCACATTCAGGTTATTACTGAGCTAGGGTTAAACACCACTTTGAACATTATGTCAGTTACATCACGCTGCTCGTAAATATTTATAAAGAACTACCGCTAATGTTACGCAATGTATAAACGTAATCCTGATGAAAAGCAAGCTGTTTATGGCAGGCATAGCTTAATAAAAGTGAATAGTCCGAACAAAACACATTCCGAAAACATCGTCCAAACACGCGAACAACCAACAACTTCTGAAAATAGACTCTACAATGATTATGAAAAGCGATGTAACTTAGGCAACCTATCAACACACAGGATTAGACAGAGGAGTACCCTAACAGCGGGGGTATTAGTCCAAGGCTTGCAGATGGGCAGGAGTTACATGAGAAAGGATGTAAGTTCATCATTGGCAAGTTGAGTGTTGTGAGGTGCGCCTTGATAATGGCCATATCATGAGAGTTGGCATGTGTAATTGGACGTAGAGACTAATATCACAGCTGAAACCTAGCAACCTTGCCTTCTGCCTTCATTTCATCGCCTACTAACTTGAAGTACTAGAAGAATGGTCCTGGACGTGTGATATCATTAACAAGTTAAGATCGGACCATATGCTTTGGTTATTATAATAATCGTAATATCCATGCTTAATCATTCGGTTCGAAGTTGGAAAATACAACAAAATAGAATCAGATCAGTAAATGTATCATCGGCGGTACACACGACAATTTCACTTAACAAGTAATGAAACATATATAGGCTTTACCCTGTTCATTTGTACATGAATTGTTTTGTTAGGACAAGTAGAAATGAGAATGTGGGTGAATTATATACTCATCGCCAAAAGAAACGCGAACCATAGAAACATGTAGAGAAGTATATATGCGTCAAAAAGACATGTTTCCAAAGACAAAACTAACAATAAGTCTAGTGTTACCACAGTGTTATTCTTATCACGATATTCACGTGATTTCCAAACTTTACACACTAATCCTGCACAAGATAAATGGTGCATGTCGAGTCATTGATCTGTGACGTCATATGTGATGCGTTCATGAGCGTTCGTTCACACAACATAACAGTATATTCGTTTGTGCATCGATCCATTCTAATGTCTCTTGAATATGAGTAGTTCTTCATATATTAACCAACATGTATGGTATTTGCGTTTCTTTTCTCGGTGAGTATGTAAGATGAGTGTGAAGTGTCAGTCCCGTGGACGTGTATATAAAAAGTAAGATAATGTAATGAGGAGAGTGAAGGGTCAGGCCCTTGGACGTATATATAAAAAGTAAGATAATGTAATGAGGAGAGTGAAGGGTCACTAGTCCCGTGGACGTGCATATAAAAGGTAAGATACTGTAATAAGGAGAGTGAAGGGTCACTAGTCCCGTGGACGTGCATATAAAAGGTAAGATAATGTAATGAGGAGAGTGAAGGGTCAGTCCCGTGGACGTGCATATAAAAGGTAAGATAATGTAATGAGGAGAGTGAAGGGTCAGGCCCGTGGATGTGTATATAAAAAGTAAGATAATGTAATGAGGAGAGTGAAGGGTCAGTCCCGTGGACGTATATATAAAAAGTAAGATAATGTAATGAGGAGAGTGAAGGGTCAGTCCCGTGGACGTGTATATAAAAAGTAAGATAATGTAATGAGGAGAGTGAAGGGTCAGTCCCGTGGACGTGTAAATAAAAAGTAAGATAATGTAATGAGGAGAGTGAAGGGTCAGTCCCGTGGACGTGTAAATAAAAAGTAAGATAATGTAATGAGGAGAGTGAAGGGTCAGTCCCGTGGATGTGCATATAAAAAGTAAGATAATGTAATGAGGAGAGTGAAGGGTCAGTCCCGTGGATGTGCATATAAAAAGTAAGATAATGTAATGAGGAGAGTGAAGGGTCAGGCCCGTGGATGTGTATATAAAAAGTAAGATAATGTAATGAGGAGAGTGAAGGGTCAGTCCCGTGGATGTGCATATAAAACGTAAGATACTGTAATGAGGAGAGTGAAGGACAATGGTACAACGTAACATAACGTTTGTCTCACAACACAACAAACAAAACCACAGCCAAGAAGAATGTCATTGACATTAGATATATTCTGTCTACCCATCTCCAGATCTGTCTCTGCCGACGGATTACGTATCGTGACGAGCATGGGTAAAAGTTCATGTTAATTTGGCTCCACCAAACACGAGAAGAAAAATGTATTTCTTCTTCCAGCAAAGCGTCATAAATACCACATGGTAAGAAATGTCGGATGAACGACAATGTGTGCTATTTGCAACCATGGCTATATGTTTACATTCCAGTAATATTTCGACAGTTTGATATCGACAGGAAATCTTATGGTTCAAATGCAATTGTCAGCCAAGTATAGTTCATCAATTTCACACATAGTCGACTTGGCTCACATCACTTTTCACATAGCTATAGTTCGTCACTGTCGTTCGCCTCATGGCATTGCTCAGATCGTTTTTTGAACCACATACAAGGGCTTTTCTGAAAGAATTTCGAAACTTTTGTGAATAGATGTTGTATATGATTGGGTTACCAGCACTGTTGACGTAGATGAGAAGACGAACGAATGCCATAAGGTTTTGATACTGTTCCACCCCCATGCTTCGTACCTTTTCCAGCGGGGTGAAAATCTGCCAGAGTGCTACAATACGAAACGGAAGCAGACACGAGAAGAAGAGAACAATGATTCCAATCAGCATGCTTACAAGTTGCTTCCTTGAGTTGTTGGACTGAACCTTAGCGCTGTCCTTGACATCCCCACTCATCATGGTATCCTTGACAACCTTGTAGATAATGAACGTGTACAGGAACACGAGCAGGGCCATGGGGACGACAAAGAAACAGCAAAATATGATGACCATGTAAACAGTCTTCCAGTTCTGGTTGATAGGAGTGATGCATATCGAGACGTATTCTTGGTAGATGAAATGGTATTCCTCAGTTGTGTGAGCCATGACGAGGAAGGGTGAAGTGACGGCGAGGACCACGATCCAGATGACAACCATGATTAGCATGGCCTTGGACTTGCTGCCAGAAGAGTAAGTGCGGAGTGGGTGAGCAACAGCAAAAAATCGTCCGAGGCTGACGGCCAGAATAATCATTATAGAGGCATGCGTCACGAAGTTTTCAAGGAAGCTCACAAGTCTGCCTGAAAGTAGAAAAGATGCTTCAAGTTTAGATAGTCCTAATACAGTACACAATAATCACAACACGGACAAGTAGCGAGCCTTGGCGAGGTAAATACATAGTGTTTCCTCCTAACCAGGATATTTACCATCCCCAGATACGCAAACGTGAAAACCTTTTTATCATATAATGTCATTCTTCAATTCTGTGCACGAAATGTCTTTCCATCTCTCACAAACATTACCTAAACAATGCAAGTTTTCCTGGAATGTGCGCATTAATATAATATTACGTAAGTGGGTATAAGTTATGTGTCAGTCGGACTGAAACTGAAACCTGTTTCTTATACAGTGGCGTAACTGCATATATGCAAAACAACCATTGCCTACACAGATTGTTTTAACTTGCCTTTCGCGGCAATCCATCAATCTGTCCGATAGAGTAACCGTCCTTTATCAAAGGGAAGTTACTCTAACCCTAGTCTATGAGACGTTACGGCCACAGTCAAACGTTGTTGATAGTCGGCCTGTCCTGTCATAACATTCCAAAGTGCGTCAGATGTACACACAGCAACAAAACGAAACAACTTAACAATTCGAACATATTTCGGCCAAATCCAACTGTTAATTCGTGTAAAAGGTTCCAAGCCGCAGAGGTGTACAAACACAGCTATGGAATCTGATCCCGTTTGGCTAGTGTCCTCGCAAAATTGGTTCGCAATTTATATCTCCAAAGTTGCCAAAACTTGTAAAATGCCTTTGCTACATCACAATTAGACAATAGTTTCAGTATATTAGACTATTCCTTGATAATGATAGCAGTTGTCTCAGTAGTTTCCATGGTTAAGTCTGACTCGATCGCCGAATGACAAGCTTTATCCTGCCGAGAAACATACCGATTATATGATACATTTATATATCTTGTACACGCTGGAAGAAGTTGGGTGCTGCGGTACGCTACCAACAGCTTGACTGGTGATTGCATATCCATCTTTGATTTCGGTTCATGTCAAGTTTATTATGAAGATTCAGAAACCATGTACTTATGAACCCGAATTCAGAATGTTGTTTTGACACTTTGACTTAGCTTTTCGCCATAGTAAAATAGAAATTCAAAGATTTAAAGAAACAGGATACTTTCCATGGCTAACATGAAATAAAGATCACCACTTTTACTAGAAAACAGGGCAGGTGGCATCAGCAGAGGAGGGTCGGTCTACATCAGCTGGTGCTCCGTCATTATCTCAGAACCACTGTTCTCAATTCTCAATATTAGGAATAGACAAGATGTGTGTATTATGATAACCAACGGATTTATTCCAAAAACAATAGTTGGTATTTAAGATACGAAAACACGTTCATCTGGCAATATTACATGAAGGGTTATTGAGTAGATGAGATACACAGATGTACTTTGGCTAAACGGAGACCGCCATTTGCAACTAAAACTATACCCCGATTTATTATGTACATAAGGACGATACATAGAGTTACTCTGTGCAAATATAGGGGGTATTTACACACAATAGCATGATGCAATGACATACACATACATATAGGTAGTATTAATTACAACACATGTACAATCATCTATTATTGAGCTTGGAATAACCCAGCATTTCCAAAATTCATCATGGACAATTTGAGGTTATGATTGTGTTCATGAACCTTTCGCACAAAGCGTTCAAGTATGTCCTGATACGAATCGTACCGAAATCGGCGTCTTTGTATTGTACATTGTGACCCACTAGACAATATCAAGTATATTTTAACGGGATTGTCGAAGTTATACACCCAGGTTTCCATACACTGCTACAAATTCTAAAAGGCTTCGCTTAAAGATCCAAAGAGCCGATAGTACGTTATCCTACGATAACGTACACTTTTTGAGTTACGTCATAAAGGGCTGACGTCATAATCAAATCACCCCCATGCCCCATGATCTAACGTATTCTTGACAACATTGTCCTGTCAATCAAGATGAAGCATGAATGTCTTACAATGATGCTGAAACGACCGCGAGAAGTAAAAATAGTCACGCAGGTATAAAACAAAATATTATGCCCCATTAATAGTTAAAAATTCTACATTTGAAACGAAATCAAAATTGATGGTTTCTTCCGCGCCCCCTTTCGAAACCGAAATCGGTTTGTTAATATTCTCAGCAGCCCATGAGGGTAAACAGTCTTGAAAAGATTGTGTAACGAACACCCGCGCCACGGGGTTACCACAAATACAAATAAAACCGTGTCAGTGCCACACCACCATGAAAAAGTTATCCGAGGCATTGGTGCCCTTGAAATTATATCTGAGCAATCTTTGAAACATTACATAATCACACTTCTGTTGCTCAGCATGATGCCCTTATCAACATACTGCAGTCAAAGAACAGCAGTGGCTCATGTCTCCGCCAGGTTCGTACCACCCCGACGCAATTTTACATCAAGTTACACCGCCATAAGCCATCGATTCATGTCAGTTGTACGTAACCAACCAACTCGGTAACCACTCATATTCATGGCTTGCAGTTGCTGCAGTTGCTAACATTTGCGACGGAAGACTACCCAACTCATAATAACTGGCGAAACAAAACGCCATAATGCGCTTGTGGAATATTTGGTGACACGTGATGAAAGATGCCATGACGACCTTAACACAAAACAAAATGACTGCGAAGAGATTATTGTAGTTGCTATATGGCAAGCCAGTGGATTAGACATAAAACCGACGACCCTTTACATAGTATTATCTCTCTCGTGTCTCAAGGACAGATCTTACTCAACTTCTTATGCATTTGCGCAAACTAATTCGTTTCGCACGAAATCAACATCTCAGCGTCCGGTTGGCAACATGTCAAACATAATAATGAGCTCACCTCGCCCTTATATATCAACATATACTATCAACACACTCTTCTTCCTAACATGATTTGTTTTCTCTAAATGCCATTCAATACACCTTCTGGTGTCCTGCGTCACATGTATGACATTTTGAAGTCTACATATTATGAATCCAGGTGACAATAATGTCATGACCACACATATTCTAATCGTTGATACTATTCTTTGTAGGATATACGTGTCATGTAAAGACACATTTCAAACGCAAAGAATGTTATAATCAATAGATATAGCGTTACCACACTACAGCTATTTAAACTGAAATAATGTGGTGAAAGATTCTTAACTAAGGAAACAAGTACCTGTGCTTGATATTAAGTTCAATGAAAACAAGGCAAAAAGTGAGCAGGTCTCGCTAATACCCCCAACCTCGACTCCAACATATATATTTCCTAGTTCAAAACATGAAAAAAATCATATTTTTCAGAAACTATACATATCGAAATCAAACTTTGCACTGCAACTCTCCTATTGGTATAGACACTGAACCCTCAATTTGAAAAGAATCCATGAAGTTGTTTTCAAGCTATAGGTGGCACAAATGTTGAAAAAGCTAAAAAATGGAAACTGTTCCCAAATTTGAAAACAATTCCATCTTATAGGTCGCACAAATGTTTAAATAAATAGTAAACTTTAAAGTATAAAAATGAACAAAGCTTTCTTTTTTCAGAAAATCTGAATATTGAAATCAATATTCGCACTGCACCTCTCCTATTGATATAGAAAGTGTTCACCAAGTTAGAAGAGAATCTGCAGACGTTTTCAAGTTATAGGTCGATACCAAAAACGTCCTCGGAAGGACGGAAGGAAATCCTTGATGCAACTATATACCCCCGCCCTTTTTTAGGACGGGGGTATAATAAACCGTATTCTGAAATTACAATTTATTCCTCATTACATATTCATAAAGATATCTCCTCGACTTTGAAGTCGTGATTCGCAGTTTGAAGATGCATGTTATTGCCCGGCGCACAACTTGGATGTTTGCGTTTCTGTTGGGTGCATGATACTCTTACGCGTGTTTGGGTAATGTGAACAGAACACAGATTTTTAGCTACCAGGTCTTCATAAAAACACTTTCGTTTTACGCCTCGTTTTACGTCACCCTTCTTTTAGAGCGTGTCGCTCTGTGTCCTGTTACCAAGCACTGATTTTGTCAGTGAATTTGTTATGAAAAAAACCATTGATCAGAATGACCAAATATTATGTTCTTATTTTCAATAACTAAATTTTTACACAACTTTCTATGAAGAACAAATTATTACTTCTTTATGTCAGCATATTTTCGCTTGAAACACACACAGTACAAGGACGAAACTAAGGGACGTTGTTCAACATGACAATGAATATACGTTTCATCGAACAGCAGACATTCAGCATTAAAGATACGTGTTCAAATCTGATGTTTACTGGGTCAGTTTGAGAAGTCATGTTGCTGGTAAAAACATTACTACTGGAAACCCAGAAACCTATGATTGTGGGTTCGAATCCCGGTTCGCCCCGATTATGTTTCTAGGTTTGTCAGCACCATACCCGTGCTCGTGGATTTCCCCGAAGTGGTAAACGTCTGAGACCTGCACCACGTCTGACTTTCCTCCCACATTGAGCTGACACGCCGTGATATAACTGGAATACTGTTAAAAGCGGCGTTAAACCCAACTCACTCACTCACTACTACTGGAAACACACAAAACAAAAATTGTCACAATGTCATGCTGGTTAATTTTATTTGGTTATATATCCATTCTATTTCATGAGTAATCAACGGATACAAAAAGTATTTTTAGCTTTTGGATTTTAGAACATTTAAAAAAGGTTTACATTTATCTCGACATATTCTTGTCAAAATTTGAAAGTGGCAAACTGACTTTTGTTACGAAAAGGGAGATAATTTAGGAGAGATCAAGTTATGCTGTCTATCATCTGGCATACGATCCCGCCAAAACGCTCGGTTTCAAATTGAAATAGGACGTATCTAATTTACAGTTAGACTAGGTCACATTTCAAAACATGTCGGTTAATCTCCTAACTGATCTGTTAGTTTAATCAATTAACGCAAGAGAAGCGAGAGAAGCGGAATTTGCGAAAACTGAATTTAGGACAATGTTCAACAAATTTTCTTT